GGACTCATGAAGTACAAGAATATTGTAAAAGTATTTATTTTGACTGACATTTAATTTCACTACATGTATTTTTATGTTTTGAGTATATTCCCTGTGTTTTAATTTTACGGATTAGTCAAGTAAACGATGAGTGTTATTGTTTTACATGTTCATATAGATTTAATTTAGCGGATTTTAGTTATGATGAGCGGAAATAGCGAAATTAAAACCTAGTGAATAATTAATGTTTTTACCGTGACAGTAAATCGATTAAAAGCAGCAAATCACATGTCTGGAGGCACAAAAAATTATAAGAAACTGGTTCTAACGATATTTAAAAATTACACGTATGTGTATATGAGTGAAGAGCGCCACCTAACACTGAGTTTATTACTACTGACTTTTGTATTTTGAGTGAGTATGACGTCAGATTGATTTATGATTTATTGAAGTAGCTGGCCTTATCCAGTTCAATTAAAAAATAAAATTAAAGAAGGACACGTTAATTAACAGCCAATTACTTGTCCGAATGAATACGAACAATAACATATCCGGGTATCGACTTATTGTGGTTCATTTACAGCCGGGAACTAATGCAGGAGTTTTGGTAAGGAAATGCATCATGGGTTTGAATAACAAAGTTTTAACAAGATGCACGCCACCGGCAATTTCGAAAAAGTCAACATTATGAATTTCAAACAAAAATGCAAAATTAATATTCTCCACAAAACAATGCACAGATAACATGATGTGTAACACTCATTCAAGTTGAATAAAGCGCACGTGCATGAAATGGAAGCCGAACATGTTTTTTCTCAAAAATGGCCACCGAACAGATCAACGATGTAGTCGCCGGTCACGCAATGGATCATGGGATTTGAAGGCCAGTTTCAAGTTAGCATGAAAAACTCTTCATAAATCATACCTTTTTATGATTTTTTTTTATCAAGACGCAATATCAAACATAATTATTCAGAAAAATACTTAGTTGTCTACATTGTCTTTTTAATTATATTCAAATTAGGCATTACTAAATTGCTACAATTTTAACATTCACCAGAACAACAATAATGAAAATCTGTGAAAATTAGTTAACCTGTTGAGTATACGTTTCATTTTAAGGATGTAGTAAACGTTTTCTCGAAGTAAATTTATACTGATTGTTTTAAATCCATGTCAACCTACATATTTTATGAAGGCCCATACTTCACAATAATTAAATCATAGAATTCGATCTATGCGCCCTCAAGTGTTGAAATGTGAAGATTCTTTTGATAGATGATTATTGACTGATTCTAGTTTATTTGAATAAATATTTAAACTCTACTTCCTGATAGTGAGTTTTTGTTGACTCCAAAATATGTAAACAATCAGATAAATGTAAGGCATGAATAAAAGACACTTTTCTGTTGATAAAGAGATTTTTATGTATATTTACATTGCGATTTGTTCAAGTATAAAAAGATATATGAAGTTAAAACCTACCATCTTAATTCAAGGGTCTATGTTATGTACCAAAGTCACTGATGTAAATTAAGTTTTAAAAAAACAATACATGGTATTGACTATACCCCTATATTCCAAAGTAGTATTACAAATACACATTTAGTAAATGCATATTGGCAAAACATCAAACAGGGTTAATCAGCTTAATTAACTATGTTTATACCACTCTTGGTCATGTGACCTATTTTTGCAGCCATACATTTAAAACCATAAACCTACAAGAATCGTCTTTACACAGATTGTAAATCACAAATTTATGACAATGCTTATATTCAAAAAAAGATTTTAAACACCTAATACAAATCTCACATAAGATGTCACTTGTAAATTGACCAGATTTATCACTTTAGCTAGGACTGTGCAACTTGGCCAGGATACAAGAATGGAAGTAGGCTGCAAATACATCATTAGAATGGTCCTTTCAATGTCATGTGACAGGTATTGAATTATTAATGAGCATAATTTGTATGTCAAAACATACAATATACCTACCCCATAGTACCCTTAGATCAGTGATGTACATTGTCCAATGCAATTATTTGCTGCAATTTAAAAAAAAAAAATATTTTTCTGTGGTACAAGTCTGTTATTTATGTTTGACCAAGTGCTTTCAAATTACATCTGAGGTGTTTACAAGTTGAAAATTGATCTGTGAATCAGACATTCACTAAAAGTTACTATAAAGCATGCTACTATATCAACCTATATCGCTTCTGAAAGCTTAGATATAGGCGAACATGTTAGTAGTGTATACGCCATACCAATGTTTGTCTGAGAAATTACCTGACGGCCAATTTCGCTCCTCTGGTTTTTTGATTCACCGTGGGACTATCACCTTATCGTTGGTGGGGGTGTTTGCGCGCTTCAGTGACCTGGAGAGCTATACCGTCGGGAGTATTGTACTCCTGGTAGGGTCACCCAAGGCGGAAAGGTCGACAGGTAGAAGCCAGACGAAGTATAGTCTCCTGGTCCTCCAGGTTGGAGGTTGGGCTATGGGCTGATAACCCATTCCTGTAAAAAAGTGATTATTACAGAAACCAGAAGCCGAACGAATACTACTGAACCTAACAATTTGGGGGAAGCCATGACCCCTCCTTACAGGAGTGAGATTAGGATGCGTCTGGGTGAAAACCGAGAGGAAGCTCAGGGGCGGAGAAGGCCATTGCTAAACCCAAAGCACAAACTTAGAATAGAAAACTGGAATGTTAGAACCCTATACCAAGCAGGGAATGCAGCACAAGTAGCAAGAGAAATGGAGAAGCAAAGAATAGAATTGATGGGAATCAGTGAAACACATTGGACTGGGCAGGGAAAAATACGAATTGCTGATGGAATGTCAATCAGTGAAACACATTGGACTGGGCAGGGAAAAATACGAATTGCTGATGAAATGTCAATCAGTGAAACACATTCGGCTGGGCAGGGAAAAATACGAATTGCTGATGGTATGTCAATCTTCTACTCAGGAAGAGACGACGAGACACACAGAGAGGGAGTAGCTATAATGATGACCAATGAAGTAGATAAAGCACTTATAGACTGGGTGCCAATAAACGACAGGATTATTAAAGCAAGATTCTTTTCCAACCATATCTAACTGACAAATGATACATGCATATGCTCCAACAGAAGGTGCAGATGATCAAATAAAAGATGAATTCTATGAGAAGTTCCAGGAAACGGTACAACAAGTAAATAAACATGACTTTCTCGTAATCACAGGTGATATGAATGCAAAACATGGCAGCAATAATGAAAACTATGAACGAGTGATGGGAAGGCATGGTATTGGAAGCAGAAATGAGAATGGATCCCGTCTGTGTGAAATGTGTGTTATGGAAGACTTGGTAATAACTGGCACCATATTTTCACACAAACACATTCATCTAGCAACATGGAAATCCCAGATAGTCACAACACTGAATCAAACAGATCACACGCTCGTTAACAAGTGATTTAGAAACTCAGCACTGGACACTCGTGTAATGAGATCTGCTGATATTGGGAGCGACCATTACCTTGTGAAAACTACAGTGAAACTAAAGTTAAAGAGAGCACCAAAGGCTAAAGATAACAACAGCAGAACTCGGTTTGACACCGAAAAACTCAAGCAAGAGGATTTTAGATCCAGATTTGCCATAGCAGTAAGAAACAAATTTGAAATGCTGGAGGACGAATTGAGGGAAGAGGAAGGTGATGAGATAGAAGTAGAATGCCAAATGATAGAGCAGTGCTACATTGAAGCAGTGAAAGAGGTACTTGGGAAGAAGAAGAAGAAAAAGCCATGGATTTCTGAGCAGTCATGGACACTAATTGAACAGAGAAACAACTTGCATGAGAAGATCATTGGGACAAGATCTGAAAGAATAAAAAGAAGATTGAAGGATGAATACAAAGATGTAAACAGGGAGGTAAAAAAACAAATAAGAACACTGACCAAAGGGACTGGACTGACAACATAGCATCAGAAGCAGAAGCAGCAGCTAATAGTCACCAAATGAGAACACTTTACAGGCTCACAAAAGTACTGTGTAACAAACCACTAAAACAAAGTGTAGCAGTGGAGAACCAGAATGGAAACTTGATAAGTGGAAAAGAAGAAACGCTACATAGATGGAGTGACCACTTCAAGGAAGTTTTAAACAGAAAAGAACCCGACCAACCTATCAATGATGATGATGCAAATTATGAGCATATAGATATTGAAGAAATTGATATCAGAGAACCAAGCAGAGTTGAAATAAGGAATGCAACAAAACAAATATCATTTACGTAATATTATTGAACAGGTCAACGAATGGCAAGCAACACTATACGTTAATTTCATTGACTTCGAAAAAGCATTCGATTCTGTGCACCGAGACAGCCTTTGGAGAATAATGAGAATGTATGGAATACCAGAAAAGTTAACCAGTCTTGTGAAAGCTTTTTAATATGACTTCAAATGTGCAGTGATACATCAAGGGGAAACATCGGAATGGTTTGACATCAAAACAGGAGTAAAACAAGGCTGAAATATGTCAGGTTTTTTGTTTCTCATAGTGGTTGATTGGACAATGAGAAAGACTGTACAAAATGGCAAAACAGGAATTAGATGGAAGTTTACATCAAAGTTGGATGACTTGAATTTCGCAGATGATTTGGCGCTGATAGCATCCACAAAACAACATATCCAACAAAAAACTGACAGGATTTTTACAGAAGCATAACGAGTTGGTCTAAAAGTGAATTCCCAGAAGACAAAATTAATGAGAATTAATGCAAGAAATGTTGACAGAATTTACATCGATGGCGAAGTTGTTGAAGATGTCAACTAATTTGTGTACCTGGGTTCAACCTTAACAAAATCAGGAGGAGGAATGGGAGACATGGAAAACAGAATTTCAAAGGGGTGAAATGCATTCAGGCAGCTTAATAAAATATGGAACAGTAACAAAATCAAGAGAGCAACAAAACTCAAGTTGTACAAATCATTGGTGTTGTCAGTGCTGTTATATGGATCTGAAACCTGGAAGATGACAAAAGGCGACGAAAGAAAACTCAATACTTTTCAAACAAAGTGTTTAAGGAGGATAATGAAGATAAAATGGCAAGACCAAGTTAGGAATGAAGAACTGTTAACCAGGACTGGGATGGAGAAATTGAGCACTACAGTAATGAAGAGGAGATGGAAATTTATTGGGCACACCTTAAGGGAGGAACCCACAAGCATCTGTAACACAGCATTGACATGGGCACCAGAAGGGAAAAGGAAACGGGGTAGACCCAAAACAACTTCGACGCACTGTAGAGAAGGAAAGAAACAAGGCTGGATGGAAGTCATGGGCGGAAGCCAGAGTTGCAGCAGCTGATAGGACAGAATGGAGACGTTCGGTGGAGGCCATATGTGCCACTTGGCATCTGGAGGATAGGTAACATTCAGAAATGTACGTATTAGAATTTTCACTTTAATAATGCAATGTTCGATTTCCCCCGCTGACGAGAAATAGTCATAACTTTTATGTCGAAAATAATCACTA